AGAAAGGCTCGTGGATTCACCTTTGTGTCTAATTCAAGGAGTTAATAAAAACGAAAGTGACTCGTAGGTTAATCATATAGGCTAACATTTTATGAATTAAGGTCTAATTAAGACGGTACAAAATCATAGTATTGCGTTGGATTTGAAAATTCTATTGCATGCAAAAACTTTCTGGGAGAAAAACTTGTTTAAAATTGGCTTCTTATGTACTAGGAATTAGGGGTGTACATGGATCGGATTGGTTCGGTTTCTATCAAAACCAAACCAAACCAATTATACCGGTTTGGATTGGTTCGGTTTTGTCAGGTTTTTCGGATTTTTTTTTTTGTTACATGAATATTATTTTAACCTTACTTTGTTAAATTTTTGATAAGTAAATATATGTTTAGTAAAAATTAAAAAAATTAATAAACATATAATCTATTAAAATTGTCACGACCCCAAAACCAACCCGGCTGTGATGACGCCTATCATGAAACTAGGTCAGCCGACAAAATTCCAAAACAAATCGATATTTCATAATAAAGATGTTTTAAGCTATTAATTAATAAAATTTCACAGCATAAATCTAAATAACAAGTGCGGAAAGAACAAAGGCCCGACATCGAGGTGTCACAAGTCACGAGCACCTACTAAGGACTGTCCAAATACAAAAGACTATCACAGTCTAAAAAAAAACACTAATATAGTCTAAGGGAGATAAGAGGGAGAAGAGCAAGGCTGTGATCACCATGCAACTACCTTGCCGACTCCGAATATCCGCGACGGATGAAAGATCAGCGCTCGCTATCACGTCCAGCAACTCCTGGATCTGCACACAAGGTGCAGGGAGTAATGTGAGTACGCCAACTCAGTAAGTGATAAAGGTAAATAAAGACTGAGCAGTAAGAAACACATAAATCCACGCCATAAAATCACAGCAAGTACAGTATGATTTCAAAACAGTCCATAAATCAAATCATCTCGTTAAAATCCAATTTCAGTAAAAATCATTTGAAGATATTTTTCCAACAGTTTCAACAGAGGTTCAATGAAGTTTAGAGTAAAAGTGATGAAAATCATAAATAGCCCCTAGGGCAAAACATGTATCACAAACCGCCCCTCAGGCATAACATCACTTAGAATCAGCCCCTCGGGCAACCTCACAATCACTCGTAATCAGCCCCTCGGGCACAACATGAATCAAGAATAGCCCCTCGGGCAACATCATATCACTCACTCAGGGTACCCGCGCTCACTGGGGGTGTACAGACTCCGGAGGGGCTCCTACAGCCCAAGCGCTACAACAAGCCACCTCGTGGCATAATCAATCAGGCCCTCGGCCTCTCATATATCACAAATCAGTACAACATGCTGCGGCGCACAGCCCGATCCCATGATATCCTCACAACACAGGCCCTCAGCCTTACTCAGTCAGAAACCTCTCAAGCCACTCGGCTATCAATAAAACAGGGTGCTCAGCCCAAAATATCATTTTATGCATCAAAACGGAGTAAATAAGACTGAGTTATGAAATCAGTAAAACATAGCATGAAAGAGTACATATCTTAAATCAAAACAGTGAGGAAATAGTAGTAAAAAGCCCCTAAGGGCCCAAACAACTTGGCACGAGGCCCAAATATGGCATTCAGCCCAAAACATAGTAATACTTTCTAAAACACATAAGTATTAAATAGTTTTCAGTCCAATACACAACTTAATAGTTGCTACGGTACGGACCAAGTCACAATTACCAACGGTGCACGCCCTCACGCTCGTCATCTAGCATGTGTGTCACCTCAAAATAGTGAAACGATGTGAAATCCGGGATTTCATACCCTCAGGACAAGATTTACAATCATTTCTTACCTCAAACCGGACAAAATCTAACCCGCGATGCCCTTGCCTCTCGAGTCGGCCTCCAAATGCTCCGAATCTAACCAAAATCAGTATATTATCATCAACATATGCTAAAGGAATGAATTCCACACGAAAATTATCAAATTAGACCATCAATCCCGAATTTGACTCAAACCCGGCCCGTGGGCCCACGTCTCAGAATCCGATAAAAATTACAAAACTAGAAACTCCTTTCACTCACGAGTCTATACATACCAAAACCATCAAAATCCAACGTCGAATGTCCCCTCAAATCCTCAAATTAAACTCTCCAATTTCAAGCGCTAATTTTCTCAATTTCATCCCTAATTTCTACAAATTCCATGATTAAAAAACGGAAAATCATCACATATACAAGTATTAGGGCTCAAGCCACTCACCTTGCTGATAGACCCCTGAATTCCTCCTCAAAATCGCCCTCAAAAGCTCCAATGCCGTTCAAAAATGGTGGAAAATGAACTGAAATTCACGAAGGAGACCTTATATACTTTTTGCCCAGAACTTCCGCATCTGCGGTCCATAAGTCGCTTCTGCAACGCTGCACCTGCAAAAAATCCATCGCAGGTGCGGTCCCATGCGCGCACCTGCGGCTCCTGTCCTTCTCACCTATGGACGCATCTGCGGCTGCTTATGTGCTTCTGCGGGCCTCGCACCTGCGGTCCCCACTCCGCAGGTGCGGTTATGACAGCTGAAGGCAATCTTCAGCACTTCTTCAAATCCCATCCTTGATCCGTCAACCTCCTGAAATCATCCCGAGGCCCTCGGGACCTCAACCAAACATGCCAACAAGTCACATAACACCATTCAAACTTATTCAAACCTTCAGAACACTCAAAACAATACCAAAATACGAAATCACCCTCAGATTCAAACCTAAGGATTTCCAAACTCCCGAATTCCGCAAACGGTGCCGAAACCTATCAAACCTCATCCGAATGACCTGAAATTTTGCACACACGTCACATATGACATAACGGACCTACTCCAATTTCCGGAATTCTATTTCGACCCTGATATCAAGATTTCCACTGCCGACCGGAAAACGCCAAATTTCCAATTTCGCCAATTCAAGCCTAAATCTACCACAAACCTCCAAATACATTCCGAACATGATCCTAAGTCCAAAATCATCTAACGAAGCTAACCGAACTATCAGAATTCACATCTCAGACCTTCTACACATAAGTCGACATCTGGTTGACCTTTCCAACTTAAGTTTCTAAATAAGAGACTAAGTGTCTCATTCCACTCCAAGACCACTCCGAACACAGAACAACCAACACGATACGATGAAATACAGCTGAACAACACATAAGGAAGCAGAAATGGGGGAAACAGGGCTGTAACTCATGAAACGACCGGCCGAGTCGTTACAAAAATATTTTTATGGGAGAATTTTCTTAGTAACACATAATAGTTATTTTTGCCGTCTCACAATAATTTTTTCTTGATGTACACTTTCAAGGTTAACCGAATTTTGATAATTAAACATAATTAATATGATACCTAAAATTATATTCTATTTAATTTTAAATTATCAAAATACCACTTCAAATTCGAAAAAGATATATGAATTTAATAGATCTTGACATATGAATATGGAAGAATAAAGAGATTGACGCATTTCATTAACACTTGATAAGAAAGTGATCATACAACCCATTATTTTAATAAAAATGGAGCACTTCATATTCTATTAAATATTACATGCCATAAGAAAATCCCAAATATTCTCAGATATTTTATAAGAAAAATTCTATATAAAGTCTTGAAAGTATTTATAAAATATATATATTTATATGTCGGTTTGGTTCAATTTTTTTTACTCAATATCAACCAAATTAATCAAACCAAACCTAATCGGTTTGGTGCAGTTTTTCGGTTCAGTTTGTACACCCATAATAGGAATAATAGCACTTTTGGTCTCTCCTTTATTGTTAAATTCAAATTTTAGAGTTCATGCCTATTGCATGTTGTACAACTTTGTATAAGTTGATAGCCAAGGTGATCACTTCCAGACTTAAACTAGTAGTGGACAAAATTGTGGGGCCATCACAATCAGCTTTTATTGAAGGAAGGAACATCTTGGATAATGCCATTGTGGCCCATGAATTAGTCAAAGGATATAACAGAAAAGGAATGTCCCCCAGATGTCTAGTGAAAATAGACATTAGGAAAGCATATGATACTGTTGAGTGGGACTTTCTGAGAATGGTTTTGTTCGAGTTTGGAATGCCAGTGAAGTTTGTAAATATCATCATGGAGTGTCTCGACTGTGAGTTACTCTATCATTTTCAATGGAAGGCTCACCCCTAAATTCTAAGCAAGAAAAGGGCTACGACAAGGAGATCCTATGTCACCATTTCTATTTCTGTTGGCAATGGATTAACTGAATAGATTTCTGAAACAACTGAACTACAACCCCAACTTCAACCACCATCCAAAGTGTAGGAAAATGAAACTAACCCATATTTGTTTTGCAGATGACTTAATAATGTGCTGCAGGGCTGATCGAATGTCTATTCAACTGATGATTAAGGAATTTGAACACTTTTCAACAGTTTCAGGCCTCAAAGCAAATATGGAGAAAAGCTCTTTATATATAACAGGGGTGGATCAACATCAGAAGGATCAAATCCTTTCTGAAATGCATTTTGCACTTGGTGAGATACCATTCAAATACCTTGGTGGTTCCCCTATCATCCAAGAAAATAACAGTTCAACATGCATGCCGCTGGTGGAGAGAATGATTGCCAGGATTAGATGTTGGACCACCAAATTCCTTTCATATAGTGGCAGAGAGCAGCTAATCAAGAGTGTCCTGTTCGAGATACAAACATACTGGTCACAAGTATTTTTGATACCAAGGAGGGTGATGCAACTAATAACAAGTGCCTGTAGAACATTCTTGTGGACTGGACAATGTGCCACATCAAGAAGAGCATTAGTGGCATGGGAGAGGCTGTGTATGCCAAAATCAGCAAGGGGTTTGAACATCATTGAGTTCCATACATGGAATAAAGCAGCCATATCAAAACTGCTTTGGGCTATCACAGCTAAGAAAGACACCCTGTGGGTTCAATGGATTCACAGTTTTTACATAAAAAAAAGATATTAGTGAGATGGAGACACCCAAACAAGCATGCTGGCTTGTTAGAAAAATATTTGATGCAAGGAAATGGTATGGGAACAATGATCCTTACACAGAGCTACAACAATTCACTCATGCTGATAAGTTCATAATCAAGAAGGCATACATGCATCTAATCCCTCAATATCCTAAAGTCATGTGGAAAGGCCTCATTATGGGACCATGTCTTGTGCCAAAGTATCAGTTTCTACTTTGGCTTGCACTACAGAAGAGACTCTCTGCAGTTGACAGATTGGCTAAATGGGGAATACAAGTTTCTAGGAACTGTGTATTATGCATGTCTGATACTGAAGAAACCCATTCACATCTGTTTTTTGAATGTGAATACTCAAGGCAGTTATGGAGCTCCTTCTTACGCTGGACAGGAGAGTGTAGCCAGGTAGGAAGCTGGGAAGAGGAAGTTGAAAGCTTAACGACCAAAAGATGCAACAGCAAAGCCCATGCAGAGGTCCTAGGATGGTTACTAGCTGCGGCTGTCTATCATATTTGGAGTGAACGAAATGCTAGAAGATTTCAAGAACAGCAACGAGATCGCATTCTAAGATTAAGAGAGATTGTCATTCAACTGCATAGGAAAGGACAACATAGAAGCAGTTAGAAAAAGCTATTAGATAATTTAAACTCATACCCAAGCCTAATATAGGTCTATACTGTAATAGATGTTAGAATAGAGGAGGAAGTGTTTCGAAAGTTACAAAGAATATGACTAGTTCTAGAGTCAACAATGAACTAGTGGATGTACATATCATACTTGGTTAAATAAAATTTTATTGTTAGACCAAAAAAAAATTCTAATTTTAGTTTATATGATATATGACTTAACAACAACAACAACAACAACAATCTACCCAGTTTAGTCATAACAACAACAACCTACCCAGTTTTCAACAACAACAACAAACTCAGTGAAATTCCACACGTGGAGTTAACCTACCCAGTTTCCTCATATGTTAGAAATATACTGGGTAGATTGTTATTGTTGTTATTATGCCTAAACAGATTAAAACTTCACTTAATTAAAATATGTGCTTGGTGCCTTTAATATGTAACATATAGACTATTTTTAGAATTGTATTACCTTTAGAGTAATAGGACAAACTTAACAATGCGATGATTAATGATTCGTCAAATTTATGAAGATTCACAAGAAGGAAGATTAAGGGCCCGTTTGGTTATAAAAAAAATTCCGAATTTTTTTCCCTTTTTTTTCAAATCAGTATTTGGCCAAGAAATTCTCAATTTTCACTTGAAGTTGAATTTCAGAATTTTTCGAAAATTTTAAAAACTCCACAAAACTATTTTTCCAAATTTTCACTTCAGATCACTCACAAAAATTCAAAACAGCCCAAAATTATATTCATGTCCAAACACAACTCAAATTTTCAAATGCCATTTTCAAATAATTGAAAGTTAAATATACTTATTCAAATATTACAAGGACTAAATCAGAATTTGTCAAAATTCAAGGGTTAAAAGCGCAATTTCCCTAATTAGTAACATAACGACCCTTTCTCTTCTATCTCACTTTCCTCCTCTATTTACGGTCATCCTCGCCTAAAAAAGGAAGAAAAAGAAAGATGTTTTTTTTGTTAAAAAAAAAAAAAGAGAAAAAAGTAATGTTCCTATTTACGCATTCCACACGGTTTCTGTAATCCGTAAAACACACATACAGTGGAGAGATCTTTGAGGTTGACATCTCTTAGATTCCTCTACTTCATTCGTCCCTCTTGCCAATTCTTGAAAATTGCAATATTCAAATCAATTCCGGGTATTCATTTTTTCTGAATATTTTCTGTTCCGATGGCCAATAATATGGAAGAATCAAGCCCATTTTTACCCAGGCAAAAATCTGAGACGACAAACAATGAATTGAAGTCGACCAAGCTCAATTCTTCAACCCCAGCTCCTCCGGTTGCGGCGGAGCCGGTTAAACCGACGGCTTCAGCTGCTGTTCCGATGGGATGGACGGCTAATGGGTTACCTATGGGCCACGGGCCGGTGGTGGGGGAGCCCATTATGCGTAGGGCCCAATGGGAATCAGGCCTTTGCTCTTGTTTTGGGAAGAATGATGAATTCGTCAGCAGCGATCTTGAAGTTTGTGAGTGTTTCATTCTATATTAGTTTTCTTTCCCTTAAAATTTTGTAAAAGTTTGTCGCTTTGATTTCTCTTTATATCAAAGGAGATATTTTGTTATATTTAGGATGTTTAAGTAAAATGAAAATTCAAATTAATCAAACCTAGAAAAATTGGAAAACCAAAGTGAAGTTGAGCTGATTTTGTTTAAATACTAAATTGTAAAAAACAAAACCAATAAATATTTGTTTTAATTTGGTGTTAGGAAAAATATAACCATTTTTTGTTGTTGCTGGGAATCTATGTTGTTTTGTTCTATATGCTTTAACGGCAGTTTGGTTGGCCACATAAAGAAAACATATGTCCTCGCTTAATTAATGCTGCGTTTGGCTGACCACATATGAAAAAACAACAATGTGTATTAGCAATCATCCAATCATGGATAAGAATCCTAAAGATAAAAGTATCCTTAAGTAGATAATCATTTCAGGTGATCGCAAAACAATTTCTATATTATTATTATTATTATTATTATTATTATTATTTACCACATAACAATTCATATAGTATTATTCATGAGCTGAATGAACTGGTTGAGAAGATTTAATCAAGCATTACCTATTCAATGTTTTTCAATTGCATTCAATGGAAGGTGCATAGAGTTTGTCTGTATTAACTTATTGATGACTAAGAAGGTTTTTACCAAATGATCTTCTCAAGTAAATTTGAAAGGATATTCTTCCAAGTTTCCCACTGAAAAAAATAGCTAGAGAAATGTAATTGATAGAGGTGATTTTTCTTTAGATACTTGTAAGACTTAGAATTTAATTGTACACCCTTCCTAGTCCAAAGATTTTTGTTGCTTCTTCTGATGACTCAATTGAATGAAAGGATGACAATGTTAAGGAGGCAGTATGAGATAATTTTTGTTTGGTTCTAGAACCCAAAATATTATATTAATTTGCTACAACTGCAATATATCTGTGGTGCAGACTTATGGGAATGGTCATATGCGTCGATATACAGAGTCAAACTACTATGTCAGAGAGTCGGATCTTCATATATTATTCTTGAAATATTGCTCTTTTTATGTAATTAGTTCACATCTACCTCCAATGGATTCTGCCTTGGCAAGTTCAATATAGGGACACATGACACTCTTTCTTCTGTATCTCCCCTGTGCTTCAATGAATCAAGTACTACGGTTCAAGTTCTTGCCTCTTAGTGTTATATTTGCATACGGATATCTTTGTTGATACTTCAGACCTTACCTTCTCCTCCTTCCAGGAAGCATTAAAAGATGTTATGAGTTTCTTCTCCTTGCTTTCTTGTCTTCTCTTTGTCATACTAACAATGCCAGCCGTGTCACTGCACAGGTTTGTTAGGAACTCTGGCACCATGTGTGCTCTACGGGAGCAATGCTGAGAGAATTGGATCTGCTCCTGGAAGTTTTTCCAATCACTGCTTGCCTTACACTGGTCTATACCTGATTGGACAGTCCTTTTTCGGCTGGAACTGCATGGCACCCTGGTTTTCATATCCCAGCCGTACCGCTCTCCGCCAGAAGTTTAATCTGGAGGTTGGCTGTCTCTTTGCGTTTTTCTTTTTCTTTTTTTCCCCTTCAAGTGCTTTATCATTGCTGGTATTATATCTCAGCATTTTGGTTTTTGTCAATACATGATTTGAGGGATTAGGTGGTTCAAAACCTTTCCCTATGCTTTATCTTTGTCATTCGGTCAAGTTATTGGGGATGTGACCTAAGAATTAACAATTGTTTCGGTGCATGTTTCGAAGATTTTATGCGGCTGTTTCTTTCCTCTCTATGAGGATTGGGATGCTGAACTTTCCTTACTAAATTCTTCCTATGAAGATAGACGTTCGAAAAGAACTATTCTGCTAATGCTCTTTTTATTCTTATTTACTCTAACTTATTTATTTCTGGGATTAGATGTTCTAATCCTACATTGCAATTTACTAGGTAATATGTGAATGTTTCATCTTTGTCCAGCAGCTACGTGTTAATTTACTTTATCTTGGATCCGATTTGACATTATTAGGTTTGGATAAAAGCTTGTAATATTGTCAGTTTAATGCCCTTGTCATGATTAAACTTCATGCCTTAGGCTACAGAGTAACAACTACAACGCCTCAATTAAGCCCAAGCAAGTGAGGTTCGACTATATGAATCCTCATTGACTATGCTGCTTCATTTAAGATCATCTGAGCTTTAGGCTATCAAAGATGTGCAAAGTGGTTGATCTCTCTTGTTGTATACTGCCCTACATTTTGGTTAACATCATCTAACTTTGTTAGTTTCTTCTGTTTCTGCATCATTACATTTTTAACGGATGGTAGCTGGGGGAGCTCTTGCTCTTCTTTCAATAACCTTAAAGTGGGGGCAGCAGTAGTTGTAGTAGGATATTATCGTCGTTTCTTATTCCACAAGGAATGCTTGGAAACTAATTCTAAGATTTATTTCCTTTGCAGGGTAACTGTGAGGCAGTCACCAGATCATGTGGGTGCTATGGGGGCTTTGTTGAAGATGAGGAACGACGCGAGCAATGTGAGTCAACTTGTGACTTTGCAACTCATATTTTTTGCCACCCTTGTGCTCTTTGCCAGGAAGGTCGTGAACTTCGTCGTAGGCTCCCTCATCCTGGGTTCAATATCAAACCAGTCCTCGTTATGCTTCCCCCTGGGGAGCAGAACATGGGTCGCTGATAGCAACTACTGTGTCATTGATTCCATACCATTTCCTACCTGGTTTTAGCTGTTTCAATGTTCTCTGATATTGTACTGGAACGTTTTTACTTAATTGATGGAAAGTTGACAAGTAAAACTTGAGACTATGTAGGTGATATTATATTATATAATGTATTGTACACACATAAAAGAGATGGATTTGCAATTTTATGAAATGATACAAGAAATTGCTGTTGATGAATCTGTTCTTGTATTGTAGAAGAGATTTGAAATGGATGCAAGCAAGTTAGCTCGGACACCATCTTATAATTAAAAGAAATACAAAATGGGAACAATATGCAAATGCTTCGGACACCATCTCCAAAAAGCTATTGTTGTTTGTTTCTTTTAGGCTGTTAGAATAAGGAAATGTCTCTTTTGTATTAGTCCAGCAACATAATTTTCTTTTAAGCTACAACAACAACAAACCTAGTAAATTCCCACAAGTGAAGTCTAGGAGGGTAAGATGTACGCAGCGTTACCCCCACCCTGGAAGGGCAGAGAGGCAGAATTTTCTTTTAAGAGGTTGGCATTTATTTCAATGCAACTGTTATCTTTCGAGGGCTAAAAGAATTTCACTATTATGCAACCATGAAAGCAACACTAAGCATTAACCTGGCCAGAAATTTGGACATAACAGCCTGGTAAGAAGAGCAATAATTCATCTAAAAGAGATTAGGAAATGAGTAGCATATAGGAAAACAACTTCTGAGTCACTATAAAAATAGCAGAATATTTTGGTTAAGTTCTACCTATGATGGTGGGAAATTGGTAACACTATAAAGTACAACCATCTATTGACTAGGAACATCTTCTATCAAAATGAACAAGAGGAATACAGGTGTGTCCAAGATATCTATTCACCAGGTGCTGAAACACCTTGCTTCAGTCTCTCGCTCTTCAGTTTCTTCTTGGAAACTGGCTTCTTTTTCTTTGGAGGAAGAGTTTTCTGTGCATACATGTAAAGTAAATAGTTCCCAACAAGGAACGCCAGTAACAGTCCGCCAACAACAATTAAGACGATCAATCCTGGGTTGAATCCTTGAACTTCAACATTTTTGGCCGTACTTTTCTGCAGAATAAATAGATTAACAAGTGTTAATTCGTGTCAAACTCACACGGCATAGTTCAGTGCAAAAATACAGAGTGCACTGAAGGGAAAAGAGCTTCTACTAAGCCCAAAATATGTTGAACAGATAGCAAGTAATGATTTTTGTTGAACCCCCACGGCAGAATTCAGTGCAACGTAAAGAGTACACATCATTAAAAGCGAAAAGAAAAGAAAATTTTACCCAGAATGGTGTAGAACAATGTCTAGACTAAACAATGAACATTACTGATTGAACATATTATGAAAATTGTTGAAAAACAAAAGGAAAGTTGAGGGCTTCAGTCTCTGCATAGGTAAGGAAGAACAAGAATGAAGTGAGACAGGTTTTAGACTTGCTTCACTTTTGAATCAACAAAAATTTGCTTTTAAAGTTCCATGGTGAGTGAGCAAGTGTTCGGGGGCAAACTAAATCACCTAGCTTTTTCCTACCCGTACACAGGGCGGAGCGAGCCTATTAGGTGTAGGTTTGATCGAACCTGGTCACTTTTACTTAGATACTGTATTTATATTAGAAAATTTATTAAATAAGTCTAAATATTTAATTGTGAACACAGTAACAAATATAAGCTATGGTTTCCAAGGTAAATTCAGAACCCATAAACTTCAAATGCTGGCTCCACCTCTGGCCGTACAACTATCTGTAGGTTTGGTTTAGGTATATGGGAAAGAATCACACAGATTTTTGTCTTTATGAAATTTGAATCCTAGTTCCCAATGGACTTAATTCCAACTTCATTGATTGACCTCTACACTTCACTCTTGGATGCATCTAGAAATGAATAATAACAGGAATAATATGCTTTGACCATAATTCTCATGCATAACTTTCTAAAGCAATTATCTACGATACCGGGATTATGCAAGAACAGAATTTATGACATCTGCATCTAATCCAGTTGAATCCTAAGAACTGTTTATGGCGTGTCATCCTTGCACAGGGGCCATGTTAATCTACTCTATGTCATTCCAGTTTTATCGGATTGTTCGGTTGAACCTTTTTTATAGGTGGATTGTTCTGTTTAATCTTAAAATTTACCTAACAGACATATTGATGAATCCGGCACTTGATTAACCCCCCAAAAAAAAGGAACTAAGGATACTATGCTAAGCTTGGCCAAACTCAAACCTGTGGTATCATTCTCTGCATTTTGTATTCCAAAACCTTACATTTTCCTAGTACTAGGCTACTAGCTGAATTCGCACTCATAACATATCTTGTGAACAAAACAGACACCAAAATTCTGATAATCATATCAAAATCCCCATAAGAAATGTAACAATCAAACTAACCCTTCTCCGACTAAAAGACAGAAAAATATCATTTCTTATCAGAAAAGGGGAAAAAGAAAGAAAAAACAAAAAAGAATGAATTGAGAAACATAAGGAGAGAAGTAGAAGAACGTACCATGGCATCAAATGACGGAGGAGGATCGCCTTCGTAATCCATGGCTTCTACTTGGAGACCAAATGGATCTTCACAGACTTCTAGAGTGTTCGACAAGGTAGCAAAACAGAATTCTTACTGTTAAATTGCTGTAGGTGAATTGTTTTGCTAAAAGGTCATCGCTTTTTCCGTTTTCCCTTGATTGGACACAAAAGTTTTTGTTTTTATTTTTGTTTTACACTCGCATCACACTTTTGATTTTTCATTTTCTGCAAATAATGATTACTTACAACAGTAGACATTTCCATAATCATATTTTATAACGATACTTCACTACAACAATCAAGTATTCTTCGAAACTAAATTTTTATGTTATAACATAATATATATTGTATATAACATTCAAAAAATAATATATAATATATATAATAATACTTTACTATAACCGTCAAAAAAAATTCGAAACAAACAAGAATGTTATAGAGATGTTTGACTGTAGCACTATTTTAAAATGTTATTTCCTTATTGCTTTATGGCATCCTAATTTGGTGCAAAAACAAATTATTGTAAGATTGGACTAAAACAAGAACTATTTGGAAATAATACATGAGGATTGGAAGAGAAAACTTTTGTACTGTGTCGACACACGTTTCATGAAAATTAAGGGTGTAGGATGGACAAATTAAATTAAATTAAATTTAGGCGAATTAAAACGCATTGAATCAATAAATACAGACAACATCATTCCTCTCAATTTGCTTAAATAAACATGTAATGAGTTAATTTCGGGGTGAAATGCAAAAATAGCTAGATTTACAAGTATTAATTGAAAAATAGTTACAATTTCAAAATCCGGAAAATATTCCAACATAATATACTGGAGTTCCAGTATAATATACTGGTCCAGCATAATATGCTGGAAGTTCATACACAGGTGTTCCAATCCCCAGTATAGTATGCTGTAACTTTCCGTGTGTTGGAGTTCCAGCATAATATGCTGGAAGTTTATACACAGGTGCACCAATCTCCAGTATATAATGATGGAACTTTCCGTGTTGCGGCAAAATAGTGATTAGTTTTCAATGACTTTAAAAATGCTGGCTATTTTTCAATTATCAGTCTGAAAACTGGCTAGCCCGTGTTATTTTCACATAATTTTGTCTACGCATAGGATCTTATCACTTGACCTGCCTAATTCAAACTTTTTCTAGTTTATTTTTTTTTCTTGTTATAATCTGCTTAATTTTTAAATCAAATTAGAATAGCATTTTTTCTTTTTAGGAGATAAAAATATATTCACCAGACTAAATGTCACGACTCAAAATCCATTAAAGGTCGTAATAGTGCCGGACACCGCTGTCAGGCAAGCCAACAATAAATAATTAATTTGGTTCTCTTTTTAGTATTTTCGAAATCATAGTTTTCCTTCAAAATAGTAGATGATGGAAATTTTAGAGTAAATACTAATATTTTCACAATCTCAAAATTAAATAACCCATAATCATCCCAGAACCCAGTGTCACAAGTGCATGAGCATCAACTAGGAAAAATAAAATAAAATACATCATCTATCCGGAATACAACTTTGGACATGAGAGAAAGAAAATATAAATACTCTGAAGGAGACTTTGCCGGCTGCGGATCGTAACATAAGATGCAGCTCATCTAAGTCCCCGCATCAACCACGCCGCTGCGCCCACAAGGTCACTAGACGTATGTGCCTGTACAACAAAATGTACAGCAAATGTAGTATGGTATGAAAATAAAGCGTACCTAGTAAGCATCCCGTCTAACCTCGAATAAGTAGTGACGAGGGGTCGACTTCGACACTTACTATGGGCTGTAAATAAAATTGCCAATGATATAATTTAAACATAGGTTATATAAAACAGTTGTAAGCTCAATATTTTGAAGTAAGTAAGCAATTCTTTTATAACTAAGAAATCTCCAAATTTATTTCTCATCATTTAACAATTTATCTCAGGCCAAAGAGGCAATATCATTTATTATAAATTCCAAAGCAATCAATTCAATCATGTGCAAATCATGGTGAGGTCGTATGGCCCAATCCAACATATAAATATAAATTATGCATTTCCGAGGGTCGAACAGCACGAACCATAAATGCATCTATTGACCTGCCGAAGCGAACTGCCCTCTCCCATGAGAATAGTGAAATTAACCCCACTCGCGAAATATAATTGCGACGCAGTTACACATAGATTTCATAAGGTATTAATTCCTCAATTCTTTTCGAAACTACGAAGTCCAAATGAAAATTTTTAAAATCTCAAATTCCTCAATATCAACTCTTTTCAAGACAATTAATAAGCAACCTCAATCTCGCACTTTCTCAAGGCAACTGTTACGCCCTGCAGTAGTACGTCAATGTTATGCTCTGCAGTAATATATTACGATGATGTTGCACCCAGTAGTATTACATTACAGTGATGTCACGTTTCGCAGTATTAAGTTACAACGATGTTGCACCCTGAAGTATTGTACGTTAAAATTTCGTTTTCAGTTAACTAATGTAGATTCGGGGATGAGATCATCTTGACGTTAACGTACTTACGCTATTTATAGCAAGCGATAAATAAGTGTTATGAAAAATAAGGGGGTACACGGATTAAAGAAAACGAGTTTCGTTGAAAGTGGTCAATTTGGAATAAAATACGGGTCGAGTTATAATACCCGATAATTTTGA